GAGGAAATGGGGCATGGAAGGTAAAACAACAACAACAACAAACGGTTGCGGGGTATGAGATGTGAGATGGTGGACAGGATGGCTGGCTAGGGAGGCCCAGTGAATAAGTGACTCCTAGTGAAGAGTGATAGAAGTCAAGGAGCTGGCCATGCTGACGTGGGAAGGGTCAGGAGTGGGTATCAAGGAGAACAGCGAAGAGAATGATACCCTTGGAGGGCGCTGAGTGTGTTAGGGGAGTCGCAGAGTCCGGTACAGCTGGGGTGGAAAGAATGGGATCAGGGAGCAGAGAACGAGAGGCGAGGCAAAGAAACAGTGGGAGTGTAATATCAAGCGGATGCGCAGAAGAAGGCCACATAGTGACGGACTAAGAGTCCTGTTTTAGCTAGCTAGTAAGCCTGCTGGTGCCCAAGAGAACTCTTGACCCTGTGGAAAAGCAGGGCAGAGTTTGTAAAGCTTAAAACTACAATTACATCATGCCAGGGGCAAATCCAATAACCATAGTTACACCAGATCACCATAGTTACACTAGGGGCAGGGCAGGTAACAAAGATGTTTTCAGTTCACAAAAAGCTTTGATTAGGGAAAAACAAGTTTCTCCAAATTGTAGAAACAATGGGCTCCGTGGAGATGCAGGTACAGCTGGGAGGGAGGACGTGCTATCTGGACATGCTACCTGGCTACTTGTAAGTTTCCCAGTATTGTAGAAACAGTGTACTCCCTGAAACTGCCTGCATGAGACCTTCTACCTGACTGGCTGCAGGGGAAATGGCAGGGCAAAAACACAGGGTAAAGCAAAAGTCAGAACAAAATGGAGTTAGTTTTGTCATTTCAAAAGTGTTCCAGTTTCCTTCCAGTTGCTGTGACAAAACACTGGCTAATACCGACTTGGGAAGGAAAGGATTTATTTGACTTACATCTCCCAGGTCACTGAGGGAGCCCAAAATAGGAACTCAGGGCAGGAACCTGGAGGCAGGAGCTGAAGCACAGGCCATGGAGGAATGCTGCCTACTGGCTTGCTCCCCTGGCCCCTGCTCAACCTGCCTTCTTATACAATACAGAATAACCTATCCAGCATAAGGAGCAATACCCACAGGAATGCAGTGAGAAGCCATGGGAGACAGCACAGCAACACTATGCAGCTAACCTTCCCACAAATCCATTCTGGCTACTGTACAGGGAAGAGATTGAAGGTAAAGCAAGGATAGCAAAAATCCTCTGCTAAGAGAGGATTGCTATAATCCAGGTGAGGGCACAGGCAGGGTGGATGCACATGGGGGTCGTGAACAAGTCCTCAGTTATTTTGAAAGTGGAAGTGAACAGCTTCCTCATAAACCAATAGAGGACAGAAAAAAAGGGCAGCTTTGTGCTTGAGCTAACAGAATGACAGTTGCTGTGGATTGACACAGAAAGGCCCAAGGAGGAGCCTGTCACTTGAGATGCAGTGGCAGAAACCGAAATGGAAAGCTTGAAAATGGGAATCAGGGCAGAAGAGGTGAAGTGGAGAAACGCTACATGGATCAGCTTTCATTAGGGAGCTCTGGATCGTCCTGCACGTAGTACCTGGGAGCTGAGGAGGAACTAGCAAAATGAAAAGATGGGAGGAAATCTGAGGGAGAGAAAAAACTAGTTCAAGGGTATCAGAATCAGGGGGCTAAAAACAATGTGGAAATGTTTGACAGACTAAAATCCAGCAGAAAGAGCTGTCGTAGGCCACGTGACCACACTCCTGTCACCTGCTGGCTGTGTACAGCAGTGGTTCGAGCTTGGATTGCCTAGTGACACTGTAGCCATCGTACTTTGTGTAAGTACACTCTCCGATGTCTCACAACCCACCTAGAGACATAGCTCCCCACATTCCTGTTCTTGAGTGATACATGTTCGACCCTAGCCCAGGCTACTCAGGCCCCAGTGAATGAATGAGTGAATAAATGAATGAACAAGAAAGCCATGGCCCTTACCCTCCATGAGCTCTCAGTGTTGTGGCACAGACAAGGATGCCTTCTGATATTATAACTATAAATGAGGGGGACAAATGCTGTGCCCTGTACAGCCCAGCAGAAAACACAGCCCCCAACCCCCGCCTCCTCCAGGCACCCTTGTGCTCCCAACTCCAACTTCTCACAATGCCTTTCCCCGCCCATCCTCACTCTCTATCCAAAGCTCTGCCTTAGCTTCAGAATCATTCACCTTCTACATCTTCTTACCCAGATGTTCCACTGTGGAGTTCACAGCATAGATCCAAAATCCAATTTTATCATTTTCTCTTTCCTTGTGCTGTTTCCTTAAGGTCTTACCTTGTCCGATACTCAAACACATGTTAAAGACCCGATTACAAAAGCAATGAGTAGCACAAATATCCCAGAAACCCAGCAAATATGCATTATATATGTATATACACAATATGTATATGTAACTTTAATAATTGTAGAGGTGGCGTTAGGAATCAGTGCTGGGAAAACTGGATGGTTATTTGAGAAATGGGAACCCATTTGAAACCTTACTTTTAAGTTATTTTTATTTTTATGTGGATGTGTGTGTGTGTGTGTGTGTGTGTGTGTGTGTATAGTGTGTATGACATGTGACTGTGGGTGCCTGTGGAGACCAGAAAAGGGTGTCAGATCTGGAGCTGGCTGGGAGCTATCTGTCATGGGTTTTGGGAACCAAACTTGGGTCCTCTGGAGAGAAGAACAGGAAGCACTTTTAACAGCCAAGCAACTCTCCACCACCTAGCGTCTCACTTCTTGTCTTTTACCATTATGGACCCAAGACGAATTGAAGACTTGTGTAAATCGATCAAATCATTAAAAACTAGAAGCCTGCTAGATGAGGAACAGCTGACCCTCCTAAAACAAAGACCTCCAGATAGGCTGACTAGATTCACCAGAAGGGCAAGTAGTGGGGAATGGCTGGGGGTACCGACAACACAGCAGACAGTAGCAGGGATATCAGAGTATAAGGGAGGGAGGCTATGGGAGGGTGCCATCTGGGAAGTTAATTAGTAGAGGTGAAAAATACTACCATTAAAATCTACCTGATGACCTTATATCCATGCTCAGGTGCCAAGGATCTCAGAAAGTAACCGACTCTGACTAGTAATACTCAGGTACATAGAGATTAGAGATGCATATGCAAACATCTAAGTGTTGGTAGCATTAAAAATGATATTGTTTTCTGTATGAAACAATATATTTTAAAATGAAATGCAGATGTTTCTTAAAGGTTAAAACCTCATTCAATTTTATGTCTTATGGGCTTTATACAGAGTTCAATATTGTATAACTGTATTAATTCAACTGTGAACCTAAAAATTTACAGTCAATTTTGAAAGAGATATATCTTAGCTCTGGAAATTGTTATTGAATATGTCAATGCTGTTGTAATGAAATGCTTCTTCTAATTATATGGTTATTAAATAAATAATTTAAAAAAACTATAGAAGCAAATACACATAAATACCAGGTATTCAGATGGACTATCTAAGCAGTGGAGGTGTTTTCTCCATTTCTGACTTGTTTAGCCTGTGTTCCACCCCTGGTGTCCCACTCCTCCCAGGCATGGAAACCAGAAACTCCATGTCATCCACACACCTTTCTCTTGCTCATGCCCTCCCCAGGTGATCACGAAGTCCTGCGGGTTCTGCCTCTAAGCATTTGCCTAGCCTCCCCTCCTTTCCATTTCCAGTGTCTGCACTGCCTTCATATAGTGTATTGCTACTATCATCTCCAGCTTCACAAATAACCTACTACTGTCCCCCAGTCTCCAGGACCACCTTCCACACAGCTGCCAGAGGTCTTCCTACTACACACATCTGACATTCATGAAAGTTCCCATTGGCTTCCATTGCCTCCTAAGTGAAGTCTAAACTCTTGTACAGGTTCTCAGTGATCCAGAGCCTGAGTGTCCTCAGGCACAGTGGTCCCTCAGCCTTCCCACAGGAGTCCTGCATGATGGACAGGTGTGTTGCAGGATAACTTATTCCTCCTCGGCTCGTTGTGAAGCAGCAGCATGGAGCCCATCACACAGGGACTCCATACTGCCTCTAGCACCTCTTTCCTGCCTCACTCACCCTCCCTGTCTGGGACCCACATCCATGGATTATTTATCACTATGCGCAGTGCCTAGGGCCCACAATACCTTTGGGGCCCATGAAAAGATTTTACTTGTATTAAAATCAGAAGAAAATGAACATTTAACAGTGAATCCAGCATGGAGTATATTCCTCTTTATATCAATTTTCAAGAAAGCATAGAGGGCTGGAGAGATACCTCAGTGGTTAAGAGCATGCACTGCTCTTACAGAGGACCTGAGTTCAGCTTCCAGCACCCACATAAGGCAGCTCAAAATCACCTGTAACTCCAACTCCAGGAGATCTGATGCCTCTCACCTCTCTGGGCACCTGCAGTCATGCATACATACCCACACTCAGACACGCATGCATACACATAATTAAAAAATAAAGTATACAGCCTTATCGTAAAACCACTCCAGCAAACTTCTGCATCCATCTCAGCTAGCGCATCGCACTGATTGCTTAACGGTGAGACTGGGGGATCTAGTAGCTAGCATCGGCCTCCACAATAGAGTGCTGCATGTTGGCCACTCAGGGCGTGAAGGCTGTATGATTGGACCCTGTCCCACCCATCCAGGCCTGTCCCTGGCACCCCTGGCTCCCATGCTAGTACCCCAGCAATACTTGCAGGCAGTTCTCCCACCATACTGCCCCTTTATTACATCTGCCCCTTTGCTCAAGCTCCTACCACATGCCTGTCTTCTGTCCCATCTGGTTCTGATTCAGGAAAGGTTTCTTGGCCTCAGTGGTGTCCGTCCATCATTTTCATAATTCCCTTGACATAGCTAACCAAGATGTGGCCAGTACTGATCATTGCAAGTTTGTGCAATGGTGTCAGTACTTTGTGTCAGTGGTGTCTCTTACTAAGCGTGGTTGGACCTTGGTAGAAGCAAGATCTGCCCTCATTACCCCCTTTTATCTTCTTTTTCAGGCTCAGACAAGAGTCAGGGCATGCTGGCCTTGTCCATCAGTCCCAATAGGCGATACCTCGCTATCTCCGAGATGGTGCAGGAGAAGCCCACCATCACCATTTATGAACTGTCATCCATCCCTTGCCGGAAGCGCAAAGTCCTGAATAATTTTGACTTTCAAGTTCAGAAATTTGTCAGCATGGCTTTTTCTCCAGATTCTAAATACCTACTGACTCAGACATCACCTCCAGAGTCAAACCTCGTCTATTGGCTATGGGAAAAGCAGAAAGTAATGGCCGTTATCAGAACTGACACTCAGAACAACCCTGTCTACCAGGTACCTCCACACATAACGAATGCCTTGCAGATCATAAAGCCATAAGCACTGCCTTCTACTTAATGCTTGCTTTGAACCACAGCACTCATTCTTGAGTGCATTTTAAAATTTGGCTTCATAATGTCCATATAAGAAAGACATGATTGTTACCCCCATCTTAGAGATGAGGGACCTGAGGTGCCAAGACGTTAAGTAACTCATCTGAGACTGCAGAGATGGTGAGAGGCAGAGCCAGGTATTCCCCAGCTCCAGCTTTGGTCTTCGTGGGCACAGGTGGGCCCAGAGGTAGATTCGAAAACTGGCTCCTCTGGGTTCTGGCCCCTTTCCTGTAGATTGCTGGATGATTTTAATAATGGCATATAAAATGATTGTATTTGCTTCTTTTCTGTTGCTGTGATAAAATACTATGACCAAGGAAACTTATGAAAGGAAGAGTTTATTTGAGCTTACAGTTCCAGGGGAATTAGAGTCCATCATGGTGGGGAGGCATGGTGGCTGGAGCAGAAAGCAGAGGCTCACATCTTCAAGAAGCAGGCACAGGAAGCAGAGCCTGACTGGAAATCTGGCAAGGCTTAACAACTCTCAAAGCCTGCCCCCAGTGATGTACTTTTTTTCTTTTTTTTGGGTCTTCTTGAGACTGGGTCTCCCTGTAGTCCCAGCACTATGTAGACCAGGCTGGCCTTGAACTCAAAGAGATCCATCTGCCTCTGCCTCCCGAGTGCTGGGATTAAAGGCATGTGCCACCATGCCCAGCTAAAGCCACACCTTCTAAGACCTCCCAAAATAGCACCACTGACAGTACAAAATGTCTGACTACTTGGAGGCTATGGGGGGCGGGCATTATCATTCAAACCACCACAATGGTAGATTTGGTTTGCTTTGGTTTTGGTGGGGTTGTTTCTGGTTTTTTGTTTTTTGTTTTTTTCAAACAGGGTCTCACTGTATATTGCTCAGGTTGGCTTTGAATTCACAATCTTTTTTCCTCCCAAGTGCTGACATTATAGGTAGATACTACCATGCCCAGCAAAATGGTAGATTTTAGGGAGTTGCCAATGATTATTGGGGGTGGGGGGATAGAATCTTCTATTGTGGTCTGAGGGCAAAATGAAGACCCATTAGGAAGCTGCCGCAAGGAATCCCAAGGTTTTATCTTGCTGTAGTCACCCCAGGCTGGCATCTTATACTCGGTTTTATAAGTTCAAGACTCTGTTTTGTCCATATTCAAGATCTGATCAAGCCTGAGTCTGAAGCACACAGTCACCTCACAAAGGTTAGTATATAAACCAGTGCATCACAAGAGCACTCAATCCATTCTCAAGGTGAGAGGCATTGATCACTGAATCACAAAGACAGGTAGAGCTGGAAGGCTGTTTCATCCAGGCCGTAGCTATCCAGTGATGACCCCTGCTCAGAGCAGAGAGCACTTGTCTGCAGTAGATTCAGTAAAGATTTACTGGGTGTCCACTATGAACTCTGCCCTGGGAACACAGAGATGAAGCAGCTGTAGCCTTTCAAGATGGTCTGTGTCCAGTGGGGACTGCAGTCAGGAGGTGTGATGTCATCATCTACCAAATGAGCTTCCTTCAGCTGAAGCCTTTATCCCAGCACATACCTCCTGATGTATAGTTTCTTCCCCTGGACAGATCTCTGTATTCCTGCCCACCCCCAACTTCTCTGTATTTCCAGCCAATTTTCATTCCATCTTGCTGGCACAGAGTTTGGCTATGTCACAATGCTCACACTGGACGTGGTGGTACATGCCTGTAATCACAGCACTCAAGAAGCTGAGGCAGGAGGATTGTGAGTTTGAGAGTAGCCTGGGCTACATAGTGAGTTCAAAGCCAGCCTATGCTACAAAAAATTGTGCTCATTCTACTTTTTGATCTTTATAGACTGGTGTCCCTCTATAATGGGTGTAGATGTGTGTCATTATCAAATATGGTATAAAATTCCATGACTTAGGAATGTATAAAGGACATTATGAGCTGCATAAAGTAAGTATTAACTAGCACCGTGGAAACTGGTCCCATCAAGATTCATTGTATCTCCCGGTTCCCTATTGGCAATTTGGGTAACCTCTTCAGAGGATGGTGTGATAAGAATAGAAGATAGGAATTGGCTAGGCAGTTAGGGTAAAAAGACCCCAGCCCAGCCAGTTTCTTGGCTAAAACTCACAATGTCTTTGGGCCTCTTAGCAACATACTCTGTTCCAAAGGCCAAAAATGTTGAAAATATTTGGGAGCTTTTATCTAATCCTTAAAAGATTTTAGGGTTACCTCTTCTAAGAGGGGAATGTTAGAGTAACCAAAAGCTCCATTAGAAAAATAAAGAAGAAAGAGTACATGAAGTTGTCAGAAAAAAGTGATGGGGAGATATAGGAGGAGTTGGAGGGGAGGGAGTGGGCATGGATTTGATCAAAACACCTTACATGCATGTATAAAATTCTCAATGTTATTTATTTAAAAAAAAGATTAATCTTATCATTTCTGTTCCTTGTTCTCTGACATTTTCCAGGTAAGCATCAATCCCCAGGATAATACTCAGGTTTGTGCCACTGGAAATGGGCTATTTAAGCTTCTCCGTTTTGCTGAAGGAACCCTAAAGCAAACCAATTTTCAGAGAGGAGAATCCCCAAACTACCTAGCTCATGCCTGGGTGTCCGATGACAGGATCATCGTTGGCACTGACACTGGAAGGCTCTTCCTCTTTGAATCTGGAGATCAGCGCTGGGAGACTAACATAACGATCAAGGAGCCCACCAGCTCCAAGAGCCTGGAGGTCATCCACAAGTCTGAGAGGTAACAGCACTCTGCTGTATTGGCCATCCCCTCGTTGCACTGCCAGCATGATAGAGAAATAGCATCTCCAAAAGCCACTCATCACCCTCCACCTTGTAAACCAGTCGTGCTGGTTTTCCTCTCCTTCACCATCCATCTGTGTTCAAGCACAAACATGACTGCACCATAGCTCAGAGACAGTTCTTTTTTTTATATACCTAAATCTCATTTTATCACACTTCAGTATACTAAGTCTTCAAAACTGTAGGGGCTTGTTTCTTTTTCCCAAAAACATGTTTTCTGTTGGCCAGCTACTTAATTTATCAAATTGATGAAATAAATGCATGCAGAGCCTTTGCAGTGTGCAAGGCATCTTGTACTGGGAACTCGGGCCCTCCGGAACTGACAGTTCAACAGGAGGCACTGGTGAGCTAAGACCTGACAGAAGTGGTCAGTTTACCCTGTTATAATCAGGAGTTAGCATCAGTCACACACAGCCAAATGTGCTGCAGGTGTGTCAGACACTGCTGTAAGCACCTTCCATTTGAGTCTTACCCTACATAGTCTGTATCTTTATCACGCTAACTGCAAACCAGGAAACCAAAGCTTAAAGAGAGGAACTCACCCACCAAGATTTCAGCACTGCTCAGTGGCAGGACTAGGGCTCCAGTTCAGTTCTCTCCAACCCAGAGCCCAAGTCACCTGTGGATTCTTCCACGATCCCTCTACCAGCGACACCTCCTTTTATGTTATAGTTATACAGGGGCTTCTTAAGGAATTATTAATGGAATTGTTGCCCACTTTACTAGTTAATACCCCCTTTAGATAGTTAAGATTATCCTTGGTACATCACTAAGCCATGGAATTTTATTATACATTTGATGGGGACACACATCTGCACTTGCTATATGTAGTCTTTCAGTGGGTCCAGTGGGTAAAGGCTCCTTAACTCAGCCCATGTGACCTGGGTTCCCCCCTTCCTGAAGTGAACATCGGCTCTCACCTCGGGGGTACTGTACATGACCAATTCACTTTCTTGCTGTGGGCTCAGACAGGTGCTCCCTCCCTCCCTCTCCCTTAGATACAGAGACATACTGACCGGCCCCTGTTTGCCCTGTAGGTCCTGGCTGGGAGCACTCAGCCGCTGATCATTTTAGACAGGTGATCCTCCTCAATGCCTGTCCTCAGAGAGCCTATGTTACCTGCTCACTGGCTCTTCCCAGCATGCCTGGTTGCCCCCTAACAGTCCATAGCACATGACCCCTAGAACACATTTTAATTCCAAATAAATATTTATAAATATAAGTATTGTATGGATGAATGGATGAAAACAGAGACCTGGGTTCAGATCTCAGCTCTGCTCCATAGTTGTGTGATCTTAGAGAACTCAATCCCCCTGAGCCACTTATTACTAATCAAAATGAGAATCCTCATCATCATTATAGCAACCACGCAGTGTTGTTGAACTACTACATACATGAGTAAACTTTGGTCTTCTCTCTTTGGAGTTTGTGGCGAGTTCCCAAGCCACAGGGTAGCATTTGGCTATAAGAAAGGGGAGCAGTGGGGAGCGTAACTCTCACCCAAGGTCATCTCTCTTCTTTCTCCTGGGCCCAATTCCTTTCCTTGAGATTGTCTCTGAAAATATGTGCTCTTTTGCTTTTCCAGCCTGATCGAATTTCCATCATCCAGCTCTCCTGTCCCCTCCTTTGAACAAATTGTGGCAGCCACTGATCATGACCACCTGGGCCTGCCCCAAGTGTTTGCCATTGCTGCCTATTCAAAGGGATTTGCCTGCTCTGCTGGCAAGGGGAGAGTTCTGCTGTTTGAGAAGGTGGAAGACAAGGACTTTTACCGGGAGAGCAGGGAGATCCGGGTAAGGAGGGGAGCAGCAGCAAACTGGGGTCCGGGGGCATTCTCCAGCAGTGGCGCTCTAACAAGGCACTTCATGGAGAGGGACCGGGCAGAAACAGAGACGGAGACGCCAGTCCTCAGCGAAGGTGTGGGATGAGGTGGACTGGATTGGGATTTAAAGGTAGGAAGTTCCAGATCTGATGGGAAAAACTGACAAATTATATTTCTACTCTGAACCTTGATGTTCCTATGATCCCTCCATTGTTATATACACAGAGGTGTGTAATGCCAAGCATACTGTCCAGCCCACAGCAAACGTTCAGTAATAAATAAAATAAATGATAAAGATTGTTGAAGGAGTTACACTATAGCGGGCTCAGGAAGAATCCAGAAGGCTGCTTGGTGCTTGATGGAATTTTTTTTTAATTTTACTTACTTTTATATGTATGAGTGTTTTGCCTGCATATAAGTGCACCCATGTCATGTAATGTCCACAAAGGCCCAAAGGGCATTGGATCCCCTGAAACTGGAGTGTTGCAGACAGCTATTAGCCATTTATGTATGTGCTGAGAACCAAACCTGGATCCTCTGGAAAAGCAGCCTGTGCTTTTACCTGAGTCATCTCTCCAGCCTAGTTTTCAAAAATTTATTTATTTATTTAATATGCATTAGTGTGTTGCCTGTATTGTAAGTGCAACACATTTGTACAATGCCTTCAGGGGCCAGAAGAGGGCATCAGATCCCTGGAACTGGAGTTACAGACGGCTGTTTGGTTGTTCGCTTCCATGTGGTTGCTGGGAACTGAATCAGGGCCTTCTGCCAGAGCATCCAGTGCTCTTAACCTCTGAACCATCTTTCCAGCCCAACTTTTTGTTTTGAGATAGGGTCTCACTGTGTACTACTGACTGGCCTGGAACTCACTATGTAGACCAGGCTGGCCTGGAACTCATTATGTAGGCCAGGGTACCCTGGAATCCACAGAGATCCTCCTACCTCTGTCTCCCAAGTGCTGGTATTAAACACATGCACCACCATGCCCAACTTGATAATTTTAAAGGAAGGATCTAAGAAGATGGGTAATTCGTGACAGGAGGAAGTAAACCAGGAACTCCAGATGCGGGCATCAGCTTAAGCAGAGGCACCGTGGCAGGGTTGAGAGGAGGCAGAGGTATATTTAGGACTTGTCCCCAATACAGGAAGAACAAAGGCATTTGAAAGGAAGCCAGGGCACTAAGGCTGATGGAAGATGTCAAATGCCAGCCTGGAAGGTACTTCAGCAGCCCACACAGTTGTGGGTGGAGAAGGGTTATATTTAAGAAAAATGGCCTGCCTGTGATCCACAGTGGGGCGACCCTTACAGGCACAGTGAGTGAGTCAGAGTTGGGTCTGTGACTTCTTGACTTAGATGAGTTGCTGGACCTACAAAATCTGTTTCTTTGTTGAGAACATAACATGGCAGCCCTCTGAGGGGTGGAGAAGAGAGAGATGAGACAGGAGGCTGTGTATAGTGTCATGTGCTCTGCTTGGTTCATGGTCAGCCCTCCTATAATCAGGAGTCAGCAGAGCTTTCTAGGTAGTGCAGTCAAAAGGTGGTGGGGCCCAAGATCAGGAAAGGGGGTAAGAGGGGCAAGGGAAAGAAAGAGAACCTTCTAGAAGGTAGGAGGGGTGCTCTGAAAAAAACACCCAGATGATGCCCAGGCTTTGAAGCGGGATGTCTGGGAAAGGGGGCCAGAAATAGGAAAAACAGAGAAAGAGCAAGGACCGTGAGGACTGAGGGGTACAGGCTGGCACAGCATGGGTTTACATTTCCCAGAAAGCGATTTACCCCTTTGTTGTTTATTTAACAGCTGTTTACTGAGTGTTCACTGTGTGCCAGGTGCTGTGGTGGGGGCTGGACACACGGTAGGAAAGTCAATACTGGAAGAGCCTGAGGTCAGGACTCAACAGGGATAAAAAGGAAGAGGGGGTCAGGAATGAATGCAGGGAAGAAAACACAGCCAGGAGGAGGACAGGAGCTAGAGGGGTTCTGTTCCCAAATGGTGGAGGAAGGGTCCCCAAGAAGGTGACATTTGAGCAGAAACCAGGAGGAGGACGGGAGCTAGAGGGGTTCTGTTCCCAAATGGTGGAGGGAGGGTCCCCAAGAAGGTGACGCTTGAGCAGAAACTATAACTAAATAAAGCAGTTGGCAGTGTGGGTTTAGACTTGGGCAGGAAAACCAATACACAGAGAAAATACTTAGTATGTTCCTGACATGTAGTTCCTGCTACCTTAGTCCCTGATACCTGTTCCTGGTCTTTCAATATTTAGCATTACAGCAGGGCATGGTGGTATTCGCCTTTAGTCCCAGCACTCAGGAAGCAGAGGCAGGCAGGCCGATCTCTGTGAGATGGTCTCCATAGTGAGTTCCAGGCCAGCTTGGAACTACAGAGAGACCCTGTCTCAATAAAACAAAAAATTAGGATTACAGTTATATTTGCTACCATTGTTTTCATTGAATCTCCCATATTTGATAAAAATCAATAAGATATAACATAAAAATTAGGGGACTGGAGAGATGGCTTAAATCTGGGTAAATCTCTTGCTGTATAAGCATAAGGGCCTATGTTCAGATGCCCAGCACCCACATAAAAGCTAGGTGCAATGTTATATATCTGTAATCCCAGCACTGGGGGACCAGTGTGGAGACAGATCCAAGAGCTGTCTGGCCAGCCCATCTAGCCAATAAGTAAGCTCTGAGTTCAGTGACAGACTCTCTAAAAAAATTAAGGTGGAGAGCAGTAGAGGAAAACACCCAATGTCAACCTCCGGCCATCCATACAAATTTACATACATTGGGGAAGGCTCATACATAAACACACATACATACTACACAAACACACAAGAAAAAAGAAAGAGAGAGAGAGAGAGAGAGAGAGAGAGAGAGGGAGGGAGGGAGGAAGGAAGGAAGGAAGGAAGGAAGGAAGGAAGGAAGGAAGGAAAGAAAGAAGGAAGGAGAGAGAGAGGGAGGGAGGAAGAAAGGAGGGAGGGAGGGAGAAAGGGAGGAAGGAAAGAAGGAAGGAAAGAGAGAGGGAGGGAGGGAGGGAGGAAGGAAGGAAGGAAGGGAGAGAAAGAAAAGGAGGGAGGGAGGGACCAAGAACAAAGCATGGCATTTCCTAATTTAGAGACTAAGACAGGCAGAAGCCCAGCAGAGGATGCTAAAGGAGACCATTTGCTCTTCCATTCCCTCATTCAACACATATCTACTGTACACCAACCAACCATGGGGCAGTCTCTGTGCTTGGTGGCTGAGATAGTTGAGTTAGCAGTGACCCCTCCCTGCAGTATCATGGAGAACAAAGCCACGCCCATCCATGCACTCAGTGCCTAGTGCATGCCAGGCTCTGCTAAACACACTGGAACACAGCAGTGGGGCAATGTGGACAAAGCCCTCTACCCAAGGCTCCCATTCTACCTTGCATAGTGTGATGAATGTGACAAAATGGAACTACCAGGGGTTACTGGTCCAGTTAGGCAGTATCTGCCCCTCCCATCCCAGATTCACAGGGCTGGTTTGTGGAGCAAGAGGTGTTGGCCTTGTAAAAAAGGGGTGGGCTATGTACAAAGATAGGATTCCAAGCAGAGGGAGTCGGGCTTAAGAGCCCAGTGTCCCAGACCCCAGGGAGGTGGGAACCACTCTTCAGCGCCACATTGTCTAGAAACTCCAAGGCAGTGTGACTGAGTGGGGGCTTCTGGCCTTGGAGATAAGCAGATTCCTGATCTTCCTGAGCAGCATTTCATAGAATGACACGGGGGGTGGGGGTAAACTAAAGAATTTAGACTTAAGTGCATGGTGCACATAGGCCAGCCTATCACCATGTTTGGTGGCTAAGAGAATGTGGGGGTCGGGGAGGGCAATCTAATTTACTATGTCTTTTTGGGCACAATGAGTCCTCTCTGAGACCATGGGCAAAAGCTGTGGTCCCTTCTTTTTCCTGCATCCTTTTACCCACCCCACACAGTAAAAAGCCTGCCACATCACTCTGCTTCCCTCACACACACACACACAGGTATGCTAGGTGCCAGGTGAACCCACGTGCTGGGCTTCCCACAAATGGGCTAGAGTGGGGTTTAAAGGGGCGTGCATTAAGGAGGATCTTACTTTCCTCCCCGCCACGATGCTCACTTGCTCTTCAGGCTCCAGTCACTGAAAGATGAATTAGAGTATGGTGAACTGTATGGCACTCTGGCCCTCCCTTGTCCAAGCCTGAGCAGGGAGGCAGGCTGGTCTGGAGTCTGTGAGCTAAAATTACCAGTGGGAACCTCTGCAACCAGGGACATGCTGACAACATGGGGCCATCACTGATAATGACTGTTGGCTATTTTATGTCTTGGCCAGATCCCTACAGACCCACAGAGCAATGACCCAAGTCAGTCGGACAAACAGGACGTTCTATGCCTGTGCTTCAGCCCCTCAGAGGAAACCTTGGTCGCCAGCACCAGTAAGAACCAAATCTACAGCATCACCATGTCCCTGACAGAAATCAGCAAGGTGAGCCTTCTCCAAGGGTTCCTCATCCATCCCAGGCCATGTGCTCAGCAGAGGGGTCACTCACCAAGTGGGGAAAATGTCATCCAAATAAGCCAGCTGAGCAGTTCCTGCACCCCTTCGTATGAGCAAACAGAAACTCGAAAGTGAGTGTGTACAAGCACTCTGATGTGTGAATGTCTGGGATTGCTGCGGCCCCTTTGGGGGATGTGCCGATGTCGGTCAAATTTAAACCCTACGTGTCCCTCACCAGCAGCTGCACTTCAAGAAATTGACTACTAACTTGTTCACGGCACAAAGGTGGAGATATAAATGTTTGGTGTTTCCTTTTCATCTTACTCTGATTAAGAAAACTGATATAAAACACTCCAGGCATCACAACAAAGAAGCTGGAAAGTGGTGTGCACTCTGTCAGTAAGACACCATTGTAACCCTTATCACCCAGCAGCACAGACTCGAAGCACAGAAAACAAAATCTGATCAAGGAAAATAGACCACCTACAATCACTCAGAAGATTGTAACATACCTTTCTTAGTCATTGGGGGTGGGGTGTTTTTACTGTTTTTTGAGATAGGGACTCTTATAGCCCAGATTGTCCTCAAACTCACTGTACAGCCAAGGATGACCTTGAATTTCGGATCCTCCTGCCTCTATGTCCAGAATACAAGAATTACAGGCATGTTCCATCACCTCGTGAAGAAAACAGCCCATACCTTTAACTGTCATCCTTCCACCCTCTCACCCACTCCAACCCTTAGCAGACACTAATCTTCTTTGTGTCTATAGATTTGCATATTCTGAGTACTTTATGTAAATGAGATCAGACAGTATATGGACTTCTTTGGTGACTGGCTTCTTTGACTTAAGTGCTGTTTTAAAGGTCTGTCTATTCCATAGTATATATCAGTACTCATAACTTTTTCATGGCCAAATAATATGCCAGCATAGACATATACCACATTTTGTTTATCTGTGCATCTGTTTTGGACATTAAAGTTATCTCTACTTTTTGGATATTATGCATATTGCTGCTGTGAACATTTCTGATAGAAAATAGTAGTCCAACTTGTCTGTTTTCTTTTAGTTGATTATCCATCTAGTGTTATATTTAAGAATCTATTACCAGGGCCGGGAGCTGGCTTAGTGGCTAAGAGCACTGACTACTCTTGTAGAGGACCTGGATTCAGTTCCCAGCACCCACATGGTGGCTAACAACTGTCTGTAACACCAGTTCCAGGAGATCCAACACCCTCCTCTGGCCTCCATGGGGGTTGCACGCACAGGTGCTCTTATACACATGCAAGCAAAACATTCATACATGCAAAAATTAAAATTGAAAAAAGAATCTATTACCATAGCTTGAGTTTGTGTATTTGGCAGGGAATACGGGACCAGCTTCACTCTCATACTGTGGATGACCAGTTGTTCCAGCAGCATGTGTGGAAAGGCTCTTCTTTCTCCCCTGAATGGGTCTTGGCAGAACCTCTTGGCACATGAATTTATTTCTCGATTCTGTTCCATTGATGGATCTGTCTGTCCTGCCAGTTCCACACTGTCTTGATCATCGTTACCTTTTAGTGTATTTTGAAATAAAAAGGCACGGTTCCTACAGCACTGAACTCCCTTTCCAAGATTTGCCTACCCTGGGCCCCTTGCAGTGCCCTGGGAATTTTAGAGCCAGCTTGTTAATGTCTACAAAGAAGGAATCTGGGGTCCTGACAGGGATTGCATTGAATTTGTAGTTCAGTTTGGGATCTCTTGCCACCTTAACGAATTAGAAGCCTTCCTGCCCATGAACATATGATTTCTCCCATTTGCTTAGATCTTAATTTTCTTTTGATAATACTTCAAAATCTGAAGAGTGTTATAATCTTTCCTAGTATTGTGTGGAGGCTTTCTGCTCCCACATTCATAAAATCCCTGGGCCTGTTGTCTCCATTTGATGTGTGCGTTGGTGTCAGAGTGTCGTGGAATGACTTGAGATGTTCCAGCTCTACCTATGCTTTACAGTAGTATGAAACATTGGTACCAATCTAGGCCTGGGCTCTTCTTTGGGGGAAGTTCTTTTCTTAATAATCAATTACTAGGAGTAGATCAATTTATATTGAGTTTTCGCTGCTCTGAGAACCTGTCTAGCTGCCTCAGTTTGTGGCAGACTGCCGTTCGTAGTGTCCTTTTTATGATTTTCATTTCGGTAAGCCTGGCACTTTGTCTCCTTTCATTTTTGATTCTATTAATTTTATTTTCTCTAATTTGGTTGGCTCTTCAAAGAACCCACTTTGGATTTCATTGATTTTTATCTCTTGTTTTCCTCTTCTCTTTTATTTAATGTCTGCTGTGGTGTTTGCTGTTTAAAAACCTGAGCTTTATTTTGCTTCATTTGCTTTATTTTGTTTTGTTTTAATTAATTAATTAATTAATTTTTATGTATATGAGTATTTTGCCTACATGTATGCAAGTGCACCTGTGCACAAAATTCACACAGAGGCCAGAGAGGGTGTCAGATCCCCTGGAACTGGATTTATAAACAGTTGTTAGCCATCATATGGGTGCTGGGAACTGAACCCCAGTCCTCCGCAAGAGCAGCCAGTGCTCTTAACCACCAAACTGTTTCTCCAGCCCCAAGATCCAACTACTGCTTTTAACTGTTGAGCCATCTCTCCAGCCCCTGTTTGTTTGTTTGTTTGCTTGTTTGTTTGTTTGCTGTTGAGACAAGGTATCACTTTGTAACCCTGGCAGGCCTTGAATTTGCTGTGTAGACCAGACTGCCCACAAACTCACAGAAATCAGAACTCACTGTGATCAACCTCCCTCTGTCTCCTGAATACTGGGATTAAAGGCATACACCACAATGCCTGACTGTTTTACTCTTTTATCTCATTTTCCTAAAATACAAAATTAAATTACTTATTAAGATATTTATTCCTTTTTTTAAGACCATGGTTTGGGGTTGGGGAGTGTAGTAGTACACACCTTTTAAAAATATTATTTTTATTTTATGTGGATGAACGTATGCCTGCATGTGTGTAAGTGCACCCATGTCATGCAATGCCTGTGGAGGTCGGAAAAGGGTGTCGGATTCCCCTGAAATGGGAGTTACAAACTGTTAGCCACTATGTGGGTGCTTGGTACTGAACTGGATCTACTGCAAGAGTAGCCAGTACTCTTCTTAGCCATTGAGTCATCTCTCCAAGTGCTCTGCCCACCTTTAAAAAACAATTTATGTGTGTGAGTGTTTTCCCTGTGTGCATGCAGTGCCCACGGAGACCAGAAGAGGTAATCAGATCCCCTGGAAGTGGAGTTACGGCTACCATGTGGGTGCTGGGAACCAATCCTGGGTCCTCTTCAAGAGCAGCCAGTGCTCTTAACCACTGAACCATTTCTCCAGCCCCAAGATATTTGTTCTTTCTAATGCATGTGTTTGCAGCAGTGAACTTTCCTTTTAATTACCACTTGACATGAATTGTGTTGTGTATGTACCATGTTTCTTCAGCATTATTTTGTTGTTGTTTTCTGTTTGGGGAGTTTACACTCTATTAACCAAGCTCTCTCTTCAGCCCTCTTCATTTTATATCCATCTCAAATATTTTCTAATTTCCCTTTAAGTTTATTCTTTAACTCATGAGTATGTTGTTTAACCTCCACATATTTGTGAAATTCCCAGTCTTTATGTTGAATCCCAATTTCATTCCATTGTGCTTGGAAAGCACACTTCATATAATTTATACTTTTTTAAGTTTTTTGGTGTTAATCTGGGCCTAGCTTTTTCTTTTCCTTTTGAGAAGGTTTAGAAATTATTATTATTACTTCAAGTGTCTCCCAGCATACGGTCCTATTGTCTTCCTCATGTGAACTTGAGTAAAATGTATATTTGCTGCTGTTGGGCTGGATAGTAAATAGGTGTATGGTATGTCTATTTGGTTGTTAGTGTTCAAATCTTCTCTTTGTTTTGGGGGGATTTTTTGTTTGTGGGTTTTTTTTGAGACAGGGTCCCCCTGTGGCTCCAACTGGCCTGGCACTCACTATGTAGACCAGGCTGGCCTTGAGCTCACAGAGATCCACCTGCCTCTACCTCCCAAGTGCTGGGATTAAAGGTGTGCACCACCACACCTGGCACATGTTCTCTTTCTTGTTATCTTCTGCCGACTTGTCCTGTCCTTGTTAAAAGTGAGATATTGAAATCTTCAGCTCTTCTTGTTGAATTTTCCCCTACATTCCCTGTAAAGTTTAACTTCCTGTTCGGTGTTGTTAGGTACACCTATGTTTATAATGTATTATCTTCCTGATGAATTGACCTTTTGTCATTATAAAATGTATCTCTATTTCTAGTAACATTTTTGTTTTACAGTCTATTTTGTCTGATATTACTGTAGCAACTATGGCTTTCTCCTGGTTACCGTTTGCATGGTATATCTTTTTAAATCCTTTTATTTGTATTTTTATTCTAAAATGTATCTTCCATGCGAAGCTTATGGTTTAATTTTGTATTTTTCAAGTTCGAGGTGGGAGAGGTATTGCTTTATTGGGGTTTGGGCACTAAGGACTGAACCCAGGTCTTTACCACTTCAAGCTCTGGGACTTATTTCTTATCCATTCATATTTAGTGTTATTGTTGGTGTGATATGATTTATATCAAAATATTAGTTACTTTTCTTGTCACTGTGACCAAATACCTGACAAGATGCAAATTAAGGGAGGAAGGTTTTATTTTGGCTCACAGATTGAGGGTACCATTCATCATGTCAGGGAAGCCATGGTCTGTGGAGCTGTGATGGCGGGAGCTGTGGCTGCAGGAGTGTGAAGCTGCTGGCTCACATCTCTGTGGCTCAGGAAGCTGACCAAGGACAAGAAGCAGGGCCAGATATGAAACATTAAGCCTCACTGCCCCCTGCACCCAACCCTCTTCCTGTAGCAAGGCTTTCCTCCTAAAGGGTCTACAACTTCCCAAAAGAGGGTCACTACTTGGGACTCAGTGTTCAAACAAATGAGTCTCTGGGGGGCGTGCATTTCACATTCAAACCATGACAGAAGGTTTAAAAAGAGAAAATAAATAGAATAAAATGTATTAATAAACATATTGAAGAACCTAAGCAGGCAGGGTTAAATACACACTGGAGCTCCCCAGCGGGGGATTCTGAGGGAGGCTAGAGAGCTGGTTTGTCTGGCCTCCTAGCACTCCATAACCACTCAGTTTGGGGAATGACAAACAAGGTTGCCAAACACTGGCATAGATGGAGTGACAGGCAGGAAGGGTGAAACTCAGCACCTGTGTCTGAGGTGGTAAAGAAAGGAATGGGGGCCGTAAGTTCATAAAGGGAGAGGGCCACAGTGCGGGGATTCTCACTCAGCCTTTGCCTTGGTGTATTGTGTGTACACCTCATTAAGTTTCCCAACCATCACTCTGCTTTGAGGTGTCACAGGGATAACATGCCTCTGATGACAGACATTTGTAACAGCTGTTACCACCCAACTCTCTTTTGCTACAGGTAGCAGAATAATCAGTAGTCTCTTTGAAGAGAAATTTGATGATACTTATTAATATGCTTAAAAACATTCATACCTTTTACCCAGTATTCAGCTTCCAGAAATGTATCCTAAGGCAGTAATCAGAGAGATACACAAAGGCTTACATGTACGGACATTTAGTCTATAGTGTTATTCCAAACTAACAAAAGTTGAAAGCTGCTTTATTCTTACAGTAGAGGAATAGTTAAAGTTTGGGACACAGAGAAAAAAATATTTTTGTTACCATTAAAATAACATTTTTAAAATAACAGAACCATAGGAAAACTATGCATAACATTAAAGTCATCTGCCAAAGCCTGATTTCTCTGCTCCAGGCTAATTAAGGTTCCCAGGTACTAATTATACTGAAGCACATGGTCAGCCTTTGGCTCACCCTGCTGGGTCTTGTTCTGTATGATTTCTCCAGGGGGAGCCTGCTCATTTTGAGTACCTGCTGTATCCGTTACACTGTGCATCCATCACCGGTCTAGCTACCTGCATCCGGAAACCGCTCATTGCTACCTGTTCTCTGGATCGATCTGTTCGCATCTGGAATTATGAATCAAAGTAAGGCACAAAAGGCTTGTCTGCTGCCATGTATGAATTTCAGTTACGTCTGTTTATGTGAAGTGTTTTAATTACAGAGTTCTACAATTTAATGACTTAGAAGCTTTCGGTTGGAAAATTCTTTTTCTAAAACACCAAGTCAGTCAACTGTTTCTCACTCTTGCATGGGCTAGGAAATTACTTTCTGGTTTATTAAATGCTTGCTATATGCCAGATACTCTGCCAGATATTAGAGACATAGAAGACCCGCAGTAGCTGACCTTCTTCCATTAATGCCTCTGTCCCCCCAGCTCTCCTGTCACTTCCCTTTCCCCAGTTCTTCTTGCCACAGGAAACTCTCTAGACCTTTTGCAACTCCTCTTTCTCCTCATCACTATCCTAGCCACACCTAGCTCCCTAGAGATGGTACCCTTTTGGCACAGCTCCCTAGAGAATCTTCAAACCCATATTAGACCTGTACTCTTTTCTTTACTCTATGTACAAAGGGCTGCTGGAAAACATACTAGTGTTATACAGGCAATTCTTGGAATCTCAACAGGGCTGTGTCTTCAACATTACTAGACAGAATTTGGACCAGTTTCTTTGTTTGCCACACCCAGTGCTTGGCATTACCTTCAAGTAACCAGAATCCAGAAAAAAAGGATAAACCAGTCATTGTAAGCAATAGAGTATCCTAGATGTACAAAAACACACACAGGGGGATTTAGGGATCCAGCTTATAATGAGTCATCGGTTGTTTTCATAGCACGCTGGAACTATTTAAGGAATACCAAGAAGAGGCATATACAGTCAGCCTTCACCCATCTGGACACTACGTTGTAGTAGGGTTTGCTGACAAGCTCCGCCTTATGAATCTGCTCAGTGATGACATACGCCCTTTCAAAGAATATTCTGTCAGAAGATGCAAAGAGGTAAACACTGTGAGGCCAAAGTCTGTCTTACAGACCTTTGGTGGCTCAAAACAATACTCAGAAGTTCTCCCAGCAAACTTGAAAAGTACATAGTTCTAATGCTGCTTTTCAACATCCACCAAAGTAATTTCAATGAACCCGAAACCTTGTGGGATTCCATCTGTGACAGGTCTGCTCCATGAGGGAGTCTTAAATATTAAAGAGGAAGGGTAATCTTAGAATAATGGGCCCAGCTGGGAGGGTAAGAATGGAGATTGGGAGGAGCTGGGGAAACAGCATCAACAGTGAGATGCAGCTACAGCCCAGCAGACTTCCCCAGAGGTGACTTGGAGAAGCAAGACAGTTATTTTAAGAGTCACCTGCCCAGTGTAAAACAGTGCTTCCACAGACACACCAGGCCCTGTGACCGGAGCTGTGTAACGACTGGTGGGCACAGTGGCAGCAGCATCTTGGTGGAAGGAGCTACAGGATTTTGACAGTGTCTGTAGTATCAGCCAAATTTGAGCCCTGTTTTACCTTCCCCGACAGATAGCTCCCACCCGAACTCTTCTGGAAAAACAGCCTCCATTTAGAATGCTCACCTGCTTCCTTGCTCCCTCTCTGTAGTGTTCCTTTAGCAACGGAGGCCACCTGTTTGCTGCCGTCAATGGAAATGTAATTCACATTTTTACTACCACAAGCCTAGAGAATATCACAAACCTAAAAGGACACACAGGGAAGGTAAGCACGTGACCGGTGTCCAGGAAAACAAGGGGCACTGAGGTTTGCACTGTGCTGGTAACGGGATACGCAGAAGCAAAGATGGGATTCCTTTCCTGGTGATCTCCTGCTTGCTCTTACTGCTTCCTGTGCCTGCTTGAAGATGTGAGTGTTCAGCTTTCTGCTCTGGCTGCCTCCTGCCCTGTCTTCCCTGCCATGATGGGCTGTAAGCCAAAAATTCTTCCTTCTATAAGTGGCCGTGGGCCTGGTGTTTTATTACAGCAGCAGAAAAGTAGCTAATACAGTAGCCTGGAACATAGGTATCAGGCTGAAGCATAGAGCTGAGATTGGAGAGGTTTCCAGGGCCCCAACTATACTGACCCTTGTGGATCTTGTAAGTATTCTACACTTCATCCTCCTTGATCATTAAAATAAGTAAAAACTTTCAAGGAATCCACATTTTAAAAGATTAAAAGTAAAGGCTATGTTTTCAGATGGAAATGGAAAAAGGAGCTGCTGTGGCGTCTGCATGGCAATGGTAGCATCCGCATCCTGGCTGTATTAGATACTTTTACATGCTATGATAAAAGTAGGTCCTGGATGTTAAAGAAAGGTCATGTGAAGATCGAAAGCTGACTATTTGCTCTAGCAATTAACAAGTCACAGCAAGGAAAAGATTTTTTAAAAGCTGAAAGAGATAGCACAATAGGGAAAAGCCCATTTGCCACGCAAACCTGACCTGAGTTTGGATTCCCCAGAACCCATATAAAAGCTGGATGCAGTCATACAAGTGTCTGTGATTCCAGCCTACCCTTGGGGGTGGGTAGGAGGGAGACAGGAGAATCTCCAGAGCTTGAAGGCCAACTAGTTTGGGTTACACAACAGCGAAGAGATCTTGTCTCAAACAAAGTAGAAAAGTGAGGACCAGCACCTAAAGCTTGTCCTCAAATCTCCACATACATTCCATGCCACACACACTCCTACAACCCCACATAAAACAAGCACACACATGCATACACTCCCACATCACATGCATACAAAAGGTGGTGGGTGGAGGATTGAAAGTGCATAGGCTGTGTTACTGAGAGCTGCTGAGCTTCCCCAGCCTCCACTAAGTAGCTAGCCTTAGGTGATGGAAAGGCAGTGAGCACACTCAGTGATGCTGATGTTCTTTCTAGGACCATGCAGAACCTCACATCGCCAGAACAAAACACAGCCATTTGTTTCACTGCTTTCCAAGTGCTTATGACCTTAGTCTCTAATCAAGGATGTATGTCAGGACATGTCACATTTAAAAATGTAGAAAGGGTTGACCTAACGCCACGCATGTAGGGTAAAGTATAGTCTTAAATATGTATATTAGAAGTGAAGACCAGTGAAGATTAAGGATACAAGCAACTACCTCAAGAAGTTAAAACAAGAACAACAAATTAAAGTAAAAGGAAATGAAAGGAAGGCAATAATAGAGTTTTATGAAATAGAAAGCTAACATACAAAAGACCATCAGAACTGAAATTGAAATCTCAGACGGCATATTGACAAACCCTTCACATGAACGATCAAAGGGGAGAGAAAGAGTATACAAATAACCAACAGAAGAATCAAAAGGGGTTGTCCTGGGCTGGGACTATAGCTCAGTTGGTAGAGTGCTTGCCTAGCATGCATGATACCCTCAATTCTATCCCCAGCACTGCATAAAAGCTGATATGGTGGCCCATGTCTGGACTCAGAGGGTAGAGGCAGGAGGATCAGGAGTTCAAGGCCAGCCTGGGCTAGAGGCTTTATCACTAAAGGCTTTATAGACATTAAAAATCTCATAAGAAGATAGATTTTTTTATGGGCAGGTTTATACAAATAAATTTGAATATATAAATGAAACTGACAAAATATAGCACACGTACATAAAAATCGAATCTGTAACTAAAGACATTCTTGGAAAGAAAAACTCTAAGCCAAGATTATACTACTGGAGAAGCATATCAATATCTAAGTGGAAAAAATAACCCTAATCTTGAAAAACATTCCAGAAAACTGAAAAGGGAAAACTACTGCCCTGTGTTGTTCTATGAGGCAGCATCACTGTGATACCAAAACCCATCAAAGACACTACAAGAAAAGAAATAAGCCAGTCTTTCTCATTAACAAAGGTAGAAAAGTCCTAACTAAAACAATGAAATATAATAAAGGATTATAAAGGCCGGTTGTGGTGGCACATGCCTTTAATCCCAACACTCAGGAGGCAGAGGCAGGTGGATCTCAGTGAGTTCAAGGCCAGCCTGGTCTACATAGTGAGTTCCAGGCTGGCTGGGGCTACAGAGAGACCATGTCTCAAAAACACACACACACAAAAAAAAAAAAGATTACAAGCTTTGGCCAGTTCGTTTATTCAGCAGTGCTGTTTGCGATTTTTAAGTCAGTTAATGTACTTTACCATTACTTTGTTAAAATAGTAAGAGAGAAAAAAAAAGTCATAGGTCCATCTCTACAAATGTAGGTACAATAAAAACTGAAAATTACCAACTGGGCCAGTTGTACTGGTGCACACTTTTAATCCCATGAGAGAGAGGCAGGTGTGAATCTGAGGCCAGGTTACAAAGTAAGTTCTAGGTCAGCCAGGGATATATATTTACAAAAGTAAATAATAATAAAAGCTGGCATTTTTCTATGACTTTTTCCTCTTTATTTCATGTGTACATGTGTGTGCTATGTGGTGTATGTGCACAGGTGCCCATGGAGGCCAGAGAAGGCTGCTGAGTGTTGGGGGTGTGTGTGGGGGTGTGTGGTGTATGTGCATAGGTGCCTGTGGAGGCTAGAGAAGGATGCTGAGTATCTGGTGTGTGTGTGTGTGTGTGTGTGTGTGTGTGTGTGTGTGTGTGTGGTGTATGTGCACAGGTGCCTGTGAGGGCCAGAGAAGGATGCTGAGTGTCAGGTGTGTGTGGGGGGTGTAGGGTGTGTGTGTGTGTGTGTGTGTGTGGTGTATGTGCACAGGTACCCGTGGAGGCCAGAGAAGGATGATGAGTATTGGGTGTGGGTGTGGGTGTGGGTGTTGGTATGTGTGTACAGGCACCTGTGTAGGCCAGAGAAGGATGCTGAGTGTCCTGTTCTCTTACTCTCCACTTCTTTCTTTTGAGACAACGTCTCTCCCTGGCCCTGAAGCTAGGCTGCTGGCCAGGGAGCCTCAGCATTACCCCCGTCACTTTCCTCCCCACATCACTAGGGTTATAGGCTACATGGCCATGCCTGGCTTTTTACATAGGTGCTGAGATCTGAACTCAGTTCCTCATACTTGTGCAGCAAGCACTCTTACCCGATGAGCCAGCCCCATCTATGACTTTTTTTAACAATCTAGAAATAATGAGGAGCTTTGTAAATCTCATATGAGATATTTAAATAGACCTAGTACCATGTACTTGATCATGAAGTTATAAAGCATTTCCTCTGAGAAAGCATACACATGGTGCGTTCTGATAGCCTTTCACTGAGCCCTAACTAGTTTAATAAGGCAAGAAAATGGAACAAATAAAAATAAAATTACTACCGGCGACATGAATTTTAAAAAATGTTCAGATAAAGTGTCAAAATTAATGCATGCATCTAGGAATATTATTAGAAACAAGGTCACTGTCATTTTCTATAATAGCATTAAACAATTAAAATATATGATTTAAGAAGCAGAGATACAGTTGAGATGGGTGAAGAGATGACTGAAATGGGGAGAGTCATGGGGACACCCCACCAGGTACCCCTGAGTCAGGAGATGAGCTGCTTACACAAAAATTGAGAAAAGCAAACATATTCGTGATAATAGGAGCCAGGTCTCTCTCTGTTAGAGAACAGAGTTAAAGTATAGCAAGAACGGCTGGAATGAGTTTATACTGAATTGAAATTGGAGGTAGTAGTGTTAATTCATGGCTTGTAATATCTAGAGATAGGAGATACAGAAATAGACACAGGAGCAGGTTGTCTACACATTGAAAGAAGAATTCAGACCAATTCTGTACCATTTCTTTCCTGAAATAGAAATGTAACATATACCAAGTCTTTTTTGAGGCTGATAGTACCCTAATCCAAAAACCAGACAAAAATAATGCGAAAGAAGAATGGAAAACTACAGATCCATACCCTTCATGAACATGGACTCAGAAATCCTCAAAAACATTGTATCTAACAACATAGGAAAAGAACTTTGTATCATGACCAAGCAGGGTTCATTCAGGAATGCAAGGGTGGTTTGGCATCTGAAAACCACTGTATTAGCAGGCCAAACAAGAAAAACAGCTTCAAAAATAAGTGCTTCAGCTTCAAACATTATTTGACTTAGCTCCAGGATTTGAGCTGTCATGCGTACGTCCACTCCATCCTACCCTTTGTTATGTTATACATGTTTTTCCCAGCACCCACATGGCGACTACAAACTGTCCTTAACTCCAGTTCCAGGGGAATCCGAAGCCCTCTTCTGACCTCTGCGGCATTGCATGACATGGGTGCACTCACATACATGCAGGCAATACACTCATACACATAAAATAAAAATAATAAAATATATTTTTAAATTTTATTAGATTTATTTGTGGGAAGGGGGTGCATGCCACAGCACAAGTGTGGAGGTCAGAGGGCAGCTTATAACAGTCAGTTCTCTCTGCCATGTGTGTCCCAAGGATCAAACCCACATCATCAGGCTCAGCAGCAAGTGCTTTAACCTGCTGAGCCATCTTGCCAACCCTGTATTTTATTTTTATGTTACAAGTTCTATAATACATTGTTTAAATTACTACTTTATATACCTTTATTATACCTTTTAAAGAAGCTGAGAGAAAAAAATGAGAATGGGTATAAATTTATAAAGATTTTAGTATCAGCCTTCATTGTGTTAATAACAAAGATGTAATATGCAATCATATTGTTTCTTGATGACTTACGAAACTCTCTAATTTGTTCTGTTTGATATGAATTAATATTACTGTCTGAGGTCAACTACTTTTAGTCTAAAGAACTTCCTTTAGCATTTCTTGAAAGAAAGGCAGGTTGAGTGGTAGTTAATCTTACCAGTTTTTGTTTATCTGAGAATGTATTTATTTGCCTTCATGTTTCAAATACATACATTTAGTTTTATTAGACATAAGGTTACCCTTCTTTTGCTGTCAATACTTTAAACATACCTCCCACTGTCCTGTTGTCTCCTTTCTGATTTTCTGACCAGAAGCCAGATGATAATCTTCATGCAGTTTACTTGTATGGAAAAAACTGCTTTTCTCCCAACAGCTTCTAAGATTTTCTTATCTTTGGTTTTCAATATTGTAGCTTTGATATATCTGGATGTAAATTCAGGGTGTATTTCTCTTTACATGGAATTTATTGTAATAATATTGTGTGTGCATTGGATGTGTGTACATTAATGCTTTTCAACAAGTTTTACTGATTTCAGCATTTGTAATCTTACTATTATGTTTTACCTTTTCCTGACTCAATTTCTCTCCTCCTGCTACTCCCATTCCGCATTTGTAGGTTATTTGATGGTCTCCCACATTCTCTTGGACTCTGTTCTTAAATATCTCTCGCTTCTTCAGATTGCATAATTTCCATTAATCTGTTTTCAAGTTCACCAGTTCAAATCTACTCTCAAGCCCCTCTGGTGAATTTTTTTATTTTGGTAATTGTCTTTTTCTTTTTCTATTATTTTTTAATTTTTATTTTATTTGTATGCGTGTACTGCCTGCATGTAGGTAAGTGCACCTGTGTCATGCAATGCCCGTGGAGGTCAGAAGAAGATGTCGGATCCCCTGGGACTGGAGTTATGGACAGTTCTTAGCGGCCATGTAGGTGCTGGGAATTGAACCCAGGTCCTCTGCAAGAGCAGTCAGTGCTCTTAACCACTGACCTCTCTCTCCAGCCTGTAATTTCCCTTTTCAATCCCAGGGTTATCTGTAAAATTTTTTTAAAATAATGTTTATCTCCTTATTGTCATTGTCTATTAATGAGACTTGCCATCATAGCATCTTTTAATTATTCAAGCGTGGCTTCTTCTGCTTCTTTGAACATATCGTACCAGCTGCTATGCGGTCTTTGCCTGCTCCGTCTACCATCCAGCCTCCTTCAACAACACATTCCCATCTTCTTTTTGCTCACATTAATTTTTTTGTTTGTTAATTTGCTTTTTGTGTGTTTCCTAACTTTTTACTGGCTGGCTATTTTAAGCAAAATATAGGCAATATACTATGGCAATCCTGGATACTTATTCCCTCATGGAGGTGATGTGGTGGGTGAATTAGTTGACTGGATGGCTGCCTCTTTGCTTAATGATTTAGCTAAACTAATTCTGTGAAGCCCTTTCCCCAGGCAGCATGCAGCCATTAATATCTTTGATTAGATTTTTTTTCCTTCCTCTATTAGTTTTCTTTTGGGTGGATTTTAACCCAACTACCTGTGGGTGGCCTAAGGCACTTATTGATCACAGATTGTACATAAACCCTCTTCTCAGCTTAGATTTTTAGCCTTTACTAAGGCTGTGTAGCCGGCTTGGAAGGTATTGTCATTTAGGCAGTTACGGGTTTTTTTGTTGTTGTTTTTTTGCCCTGTGCTCAGCAGAGATGGGTATTTTGGACACCACCCCCCCAACCCCCACCCCTGGTTCTACCAGAGAAGCTGCAGCCTTCTTTGGGCACAGAGTCTTTCTCCTGGCTTCCCTGGGGATGCTCTTGAGTTGAAGGAGCTCACTGCTGGGTACTTAGCAGTTGTGGGTAAGACCCTTGAACCAGCGAGGCTTCAGCCCAAGCCAGCGGGTCTTCAAGTAGCTTAGGAGATGCTTTCATGCCTTCCCGCAGTGGGCTCCCATCGCTGCTGACACAGGACCTGTCAGTGTCTTAACTTTCTTTTTCCCATGTTCTCTCTACTAAAATTCTGCTACTCGACAATTTTTCTTAAGTCATAGAGTTATCAGCCTATCACGCCTTTCACTGAGATCGCCATTGTTTTAGACATGCCCATAAGCACAGATGTCTCTGGGTTCAGTACCAAATAAAGCCGACCCCTCGGTGCTGCGGAGCTCCCGTCTTAGCGCCTGAGTTTCCTCTGGGCACAGTTCCTTCCACTGTACCAGAACTAGGGGCAGGAACCTGCTTTTCCATCAGTGGCACCCCACACTGAGGGGAACCTTCAGGATAGGGGTGGGGTGAATGGGAGGCCCTGGTCTTCAGCTTGCCCCTCATAGTGGCAGCAGCAGCCAGGCACCATCGTTCTTAGCCTGCCTGGAACAGGCACTGTAGGACAGGTGGCCCATCCTCTTGGTGGCTGCTGCCCAGAGTGCACAGCAGTGAACTTCAGGGCTCAGGTGCTGCAGGCTCTTCTTACAGAGGCTGGGTGGATTTTCTCAGATGATTATTTCTCCATTGCCTCATGCCCTTCAAACAAGTTGCCAGAGGCTGTGATTGGGATGTGTATGTGCACACACATGTGCATGTGTGCATATGGAAGTCAGAGGGCAGCCTCTAGTGTCCTTCCTTGGGTGCTATCCACCAGTGTTTGTTTGTCTGTTTGCTTGTTGAGACAGGGTCTCTGACTAGCCTGGAACTCACCTAGTAGGCTAGGCTATGTTAGCCAGAAAGCACTAAGAAGTCACCTGTCCCTGCCTCCCCATTGCTGAGGTTACAAGCACATACCACCATGCCCAGCTACTTTTTATCATGTATCCTGGGAATTAAACTCAGGTCCTCATGTTGCAAAGCAAGCACTTTATCAACTGAGCTATCCTCTAGCCCTAAGTGGTTATTTTGATTGTTTTTACCAGTTAACTTACTTCATCGGGTACATCAGCCAGTGTCCTCTCTCTCCCATTCTAGAAGTCTACTTTCTGAGCTATGTTTGCAATTTCCTGTGAATATTTCAAAATCAAAAGGGTTTTCAAAGGATTCTGGAGGTAGTATGATCTGTGAAATGTTTGCTGCACAAGCATGAGAACCTGAGCTCAAGCCCTGGAACCCATGTTTTCTTAAAATGGGCATGATGGCCTACTTTTGTAATCACAGAAATGGGAAGGCTGGGATAGGTGGAAACCTGGGGCTCCCTGGCCTCAGCCTGCCCTACCTGGGGAGCTCCAGGGCAGTGAGAGACAGGTCCTCTACTGGGAAGGGACAATCTGCCTCAGTGTAGTGGAGCCCCCAGGCCTGCCCCCCGCCAGGTTGGGGTGTGTTTGCAATATGTGCATGCACCCTCTCAGCTGGGTATGTCTGTGACCCTTGCAGATTCGCTCAGTTGTATGGAACTCAGATGACAGCAAACTGATTTCTGCTGGCACAGATGGGGCCGTGTATGAGTGGAATCTGGCCACAGGAAAAAGAGAGACAGAGTGCGTGCTCAAGTCCTGTAGCTACAATTCCATCGCTGTCTCCCCTGATGCCAAAATTATCTTTGCTGTTGGATCAGATCAGACCCTCAAGGAGATTTCAGATTCTTTGGTGAGTTCATACCTGGCTTGTTCTGACTGTGGCACAGAGCTGCAGGAGACAGCCTCAGGTGTTCAAAAAGCAGCCATGGGAAGAGTGCCCCACTTCTTGGGATGGCACCTGCCTGTCTTCCTGTTGAGTCCCCTCAGTTTGTCACTTCATGAAATTCCTGCTCAGTGCCCCTCCTGACTGAATTATACTGTGGGGCCCCTTGCCCTTTCCAGTTATAACTCTGTCCATAACTTCCCATCTCTCTTCCACCATGGAAGTCAACAACATCTCTAACTCTCAGTCTTGGCTGTCAAGATGGCTCAGTGGGTAAAGACACTTGCCACAAAGCCTGATGACCTGAGTTTAATCCCTGGGCTCCACATAGTGGAAGGAGAGAACCAAAAGCTGTCCTCTGACCTTCACACACGTGCCATGGTATGTGTACCACAGCATGTGTGCACACACACATATGCACACATGCACACAACATAAATAATTAAGATGTAATTTAAAATTTTAAACCGCTTTTGCTCAGCTGGGGTAAAACCACAACTATAGCTAGCTACTGTCCCCCGACTTTGCCACTGTGAGCTTTTGGAATTCTTAACCTCCAAATTTTTAAAAGTACTACATTTGGCTCCGTGGGCATAAGGGCAGATATTCTCTTGATAGCCTGACCAGCTGGTGTGCCTGGACCCCAACAAACATTCAAAACATGTGTGGGTGGCTGTGTGGATGGGCCAATGCATACAGTCCCGGGTGAGAGAGTGAATGAGTTCTCTGATGGCATAGTTTTGCTTATGTGGTTGATATGGAAATGCTTCCTGAATAAATTCATGATCACCATCCTATTTTCACTATGAGATGCACCCAGCATTGCAGTCAGGAGCTGAGACGGCGCTGCCACTCCCAGGGTTAATGGATTGAGGCAAATTGCTTCCTGTCCGGGTGACTCATCTTCCATTATCTTTAAAACAGGCTTAACAGTGATGACCTCAGCATAGCTGTAACTTCCTCAGAGGGTTTCTGTGAAGACTGGATGAGTTACAACGTGTAAAGAATATAGAATAGTGCTTGGCACACACTGCTGTAGGGAGATTTCCAGTCATTGCATTATTCCCAACTCCTACAACTAACTGGTTCTTAGTCAAGAAACCAGGGCTGGAGACATAGCTCAGTGGATAAGAGGACTTTGTACAAACGTGAGGACCAGAGTTCAGCTCCCAGCATCCATGTAAAAAGCCAAGCGTGGCCCTGTACTTGTAGCCCCAGTGCTGGAGGGCAGTCCCAGAGAAATAAGATCACTGGGCTTGCTGGCCACGAACCTAACTCCATGTTCAGTGAAGAGATCCGGTTTCCAGGGAATAAGGCAGACGGTGATGGAGCAGGACACCCAGCGTCTTTCTCTGGTGTCCATGTGTGCATACAGGCACACACACAAGACTTAGGACTCTCCCAGGCTGTGGTGGCACACACCTTTAATTCCAGCATTGGGGATGTGGAAGTAGGCACAACTCTGTGAGTTCAAGGCTGGCCTGGTCTATCCTGCGAGTCCCAGGCCAGCCAGGGCTACATAGTGAGACCCTGCCTCAAAACGAATCAAAACAAACAACGAAAACCCCTTAGGCACTCTGAACTGGGGTGGTAGCTCAGTGGTGGAGAGCCTCCTTAAGCATGTGAGACCTGAGTTTCATTCCCAGCATCACAGTTATTTTTTAAAAGAAACAAAACCAAGAAATATTTAGTTTGTGCCATTTATGTGTTAGACTCCATAGCAAATACTATAAGGAATAGAAGAAAATATATTTAAAAAAAATACAGTCCCGCACCCCAAAGTTGCTATTGGAGGAGAGGAAGAGAATGATTCTGGAGACAGTTCAGCCCCTACCACTGAACAGAGCTGTCTGCGTTCCAGATCCTTCGAGAGATATCTGCATACGACGTCATCTACACGGCCATCACCATCTCACATTCCGGGCGCATGATGTTTGTGGGCACATCGATGGGAACCATCCGTACCATGAAGTACCCCCTACCCTTGCAGAAAGAATTCAATGAATACCAGGCTCACGCTGGTCCCATCACCAAGGTAAGAGGGACCCTCCCCTCCAGGGCTCAGTCCCGGTCTGGCCTCACAGACCTTCCCCCCCTCCAACCTCCCATGTTGTTTCTGTCTCCTTACTCCTCTCGTTTATCCATTAAGCACCTGTTGACTATTCATAACCATTGTTTAAACCATTTCTAGGAATTTATCCTAGGAAATAATCAGATAGATGTAAAGATCATTTGACCCAAAATTACACCCAATAAAGGGCCACTGGATGGAGGCTGTGGGTGTCCAGTGAAGTCACTATGGCATCTCCCAGGTGTGGTGAGTTTTGCCTGTTAATGTCCCTTAGATGCCCACTTCTCCTGGACAAAAGGGAGTCATATCCCAAGAGATTAGCCCCTACCACTCCCCGAGGAGATAAAGGCCTCCCTGGGAACAGTAACATAAGCATACCTTTGTGAATACACCTATTCACTCTTCTCATGAGATAATGTCTGTACTTAAAATGATTAAAATCATAATGGAGGAAAAGGGAAAGAAATGCTAAAATGAGAAAGCAGCCTAAGTGTCCATCAACAGATGGTAACCAAAATGTTTTATGCACATATATAGAGTAATATTCAGTCTTAAAAGGGAAAGGAATTCTGCACTATAACATTAAGAACACTGTGCTAAATGAAATAAACCAATCCCAAACAGACAAAATGCAATGCGATTCTACTTTCATAAGATACTTAACTGTAGGACAAATAGGCTCAACGGTTTGAGTCCCACTATGGGAACAGGACTCTTTCAGGACTTTTTCAACTTTTCTAGATCTTCAGGTTTGATGACATAGGGCTTCTGACTCTCAGAGAGCCAGAGAAGACGGTGATTCCAAATCTACAGGATCTCCATCCTAGATTTACTGCTAGGGCCTAGGTCCTCCCCCCTCCCCCCTTGGTTTGTCAGCTTCGGAGGCCTTTGGGTCCTTTCTGCTTCCCATCATTGCCCAATATCATTCGGCTCTTCTATTACCTCAGGGGCTTGAGAGTGTGGAACAGGGAATTAGGTTTGTGTCCATCTGTCACTCACTCAAACTGATCAATTCATGCTTTTAAAAGAAGACACTTAAGAGTAGTCAAAAATCACACAGATAGAAAGAACAATGGCTGCCATGGGCTGGGGCCAGAGCAAAGAACTAGCATTCAATTTGTGTAATTTTAGAGGACAAAAGAATTGTGGACATAAGTGGTGGTGATAGTTACACAGCATAAAAACGTATTCACATGAACTGTACACCACAGAAAGGTTATGGTGATGAAGTTTACACTCCGTGTATTTTGCCACAATAAAAAATAATAATTTTCTGGCCGGGCATGGTGGCGCACTCCTTTAATCCCAGCACCTGGGAGGCAGAGGCAGGTGGATTTCTGTGAGTTCGAGGCCAGCATGGTCTCCATGGTGAATCCAGGACAGCTGGGGCTACAAGGAGACCCGGTCTCAAAACAAAAACAAACAAACAAAAATAATGTTCTGGCATGAAAAATAGTTGCCAATAAATCTGAGCCAATAGAAAAATGTTATTCACAGGAATAAAAAAAAGTGTGTCTGTGTTTACACAGACCCCTGAAAATCAGACCCTGAGGGATAGGTGTCTTCTTCCTTTCATTTGAGACTGAATGACATGAATGCATGAGATTTTTAATTATAACCCAGATTCTATGTTGGCTTACCTTTAGGCACTCTCCTCATTAAGAAAGGATTTTTTATTATAAAATGACAGACTTCTGTACTGAGCCTGGACATTGGGTCCAAAGCAAATTGCTGCAATATAGTCCTCCTTTTCCCTTCAGATCTATTAAGTTTTGTGACTAAGATCATTTTTATTATAGAAACAATGCATATTTATGTTCGAAGTAGCACCATCATTAATCTGTTGATGCCACCTACCTTCTAATACATATTATATAAGTGTCTGAAGTGAAGATTATATGGTCACTCTTTTGTAACCTGCTTCCTAAAAATTTAACACTAATGAAAGAATTTTTCTATACAATTGAATATGCCTCAAAATCATTGTTTCAGGGGCTAAAGAGATGGCTGTACAGTTAAGAAGGCATACTGCTCTTGTAGAGGACCCAAGTTCCGATCCCAGCACTCACGTCAGGCAGCTCACAACTGCCTATAACTCCAGCTTCTACAGTCCAGTACCCCCTCTGGCCCCTACAGGGGCCAGACACACGCTTATGCATAATTTAAAGCATAAAAATAAATCCTTTAAGCTGGGCGTGGTGGCGCACGCCTTTAGTCCCAGCACTCGGGAGGCCGAGGCAAGCGGATCTCTGTGAGTTCAAGCCCAGCCTGGTCTACATAGTGAGTTCAGGTCAGCTGGGACTACAGGGAGACCTTGTCTCAAAAAGACAAAAAAAAATCCTTTTCAAAAGCATGCTTTTAGTAGCTATATAAATATTTTCTCATATGGTAGAGTATAACATTAATTTCTCTCTTTTAATAGGGCATTTAAATTATCTGGTGGCTAATAACAAATACCCTAGACTGTAGTTTTCGTGTGTGCCTCTGACTGTTTTCTAAGGCTAACTTCCTGACTGAGATGAAACTCCTGAGTGAAAGCATATTGTCTTTCTTAAAGCTCTTGACACATACCACTGATTAGGGGAAAACATTTTCCATCATCAACTCTTTTGTCTTCTCTTTTTATTTTGAAACAATTATAGAGTCAAAGGAGATTTTAAAGATAGCAAAGAATTTCTATGGCTCTTTCTCCTACTTTCCCCCAATAGCTGTATCTTATGTAACTTCAGTATAGAACCAGAAAACTGGTATTGGTGTGCTGAGCATGAGGCCTGTGTCATCTTTTCATGAGCGGAGCTTGTATGACCACAGCCACCAAAACTGCTTTCACACGACCCTTTTGTAGTTACAACCACTGTCCCAAATCCCTGTCAGCCATTCATGTCTATCACCATGTCATTCTGGGAATTTTATATAAATGGAGTCATACAATATGTGACCTGTGGGAGTCTTTTCTCACTCCACGAAACATTCTTTATGTCTGTCCGAGTTAATTTGCTTAATAGTTTAGTTCGTTCCTTTCACTGCTGAGTTATGTGTCCTGGTCAATGAACCACAGGTGGTTTTACCACCACTCCATTGCAGGATATTTTTTATGTTTTCCAACTTGGGGCTATTGTAAATAAAGCTGCTATGAACAATCTTGTATAGGTTTTTGTATGGATTTAAGTTTTGATTTCTCTGGGATAAGTGCCAGGAGTACAATTTCTGACTCATATTGTAAGTGGAAGTTCAAGGGTTTTTAACATTTTATTTTTTCTGTGTGTATGAGTGTTTTGCCTGCATGTATGTAAGTGTACCACATACATGCCTGGTGCCAGCAGAGGCCAGAAGAGGGTGCTGGACCCCCTGGAACTGGAGTTAAGAACAGGTGTTAGCCACCATGTGGGTGCTGAGAACTAAACCCAGGTCCTCTGGAAGAACATTAAGTGTTCTTTAACCACTGAGCCATCCCTCCAGCCCCAAAGTTCAAGGTTTTATTTGTTATTTTTATTTTATGTGTATGAGTGTATTGCCTACATCTATGTAAATGCACCTGTGTTGGGCAATGCCCTCAGAGAACAGAAGAGGGCATCAGATCCCCTGGAGCTGGATTTATGGATGGTTTTTAGCTGCCATGTGGGTGCTGGGAACTGAACCCAGGTCCTCTGAAGGAGCAGCCAGCTCTCTTAACCACTGAGCATCTCTCCAGCCACCAAAGTTCAAGTTTTTAAGAAACTGCCAAACTATTCTTTGGAGTGGCTATAGCAGTTTACATTCCTGCTGGCAGTGTCTCCGAGACCTGGTTGCCCTTTGTTATAGCCAGCACCTTACTATTGGCATTGGTCTGTGTTTCAGTTGTTCTTAGAAATGTGTAGTGCTTTCTTTTTTTAATACTATCATTTATTATTTTATGTGCATGAGTGTATTGCCTGCATGTATGTGAGTACATCTGTGTCATGCAATGCCACGGAGGTTGGAAGAGGGCTTCAGCTTCCCCTGGAACTGGAGTTAAGGATGGTTCGTAGCCACCATGTGGGTGCTGGGAATCGAACCCAGGTCCTCTGAAAGAACAGTCAGTGCTCTTAACCACTGAGCCATCTGTCCAGCCCCAGTGTAGTGCTTTCTTACTGTGGTCTTACTTTGTATCTCTGTAATAGCTAATACTATTGAATATCTTTGTTTTGTGGGTGACTTTTCCAACATACACAAGTCTACTCATTCCAGAAAGGGAACCCATGACAGACCAACTGCACCAAAGTCCAACTTGGTGAGTCATTGAATTTAATGAGGTTACTAACAGGACTGTGGGTAAAGGGTGACTTATAGGAAGAGGGATGACTCAAAAGCAGCAGCATCTCCAAAAAGCACCCCAAACACAGGTGACAACTCACAAAAGCTGCAACCCTCAAACTCTCTGCAAAACTTGCAGGCAGCTCGACGGTCCTGGACCCTCCTCTCACAGCTAGGCTGGTCAGAGTCTCCTCCCCTGTAGTTACTACTGCTTCTACAACCCTGGGGAAGGGACCTTCCCAGACATAGGTTTATTTCTCATGAGCACCCCTCTTCGCCCCTGGAAGGAATGTTTCTTTTCCAGGTGAACTGCTGTACAACAGTCTTTTCATGCACATGCTTCTCAGCTCTGTCGCCTACACCTATGTTCAGTGAAATGTCTTCCTGTCTTTTTGCCCACTTTGGATTGTCAGGACTTTTTCACTGTTGAGATTTGAGAGTTCTTTATACATTCCAGATCACAGTATTCACTCAAGATTCCAAATGGAATGTAGGCTAGATCGCCTTCTTTTATTCATTCACAGAAAGAATTCTGTGAGCCCTCTCTCTGGTTCTTACTAGGACCAAGTCTACCTTGTTGTGAGGCTGTGTCTGAGACAGCTAGGTCATCCTCAGTCTTACGGGGTTAGAAAACATACCAGAAAACTGATAGTTACAAGAAATAGGCCAATCTTCAAGGAGACAGGAAGTCAGGAAACCAGCTCAGCCTTCAAGACTCTGCAGATCACAGAGATATGAATAAGCCAAAGCTTAGGAAAATAAAATCATTAAAATCAAATTCACTGAGGCAGGGTAATGACCTGCTCTGTTCCAAAACTCAATTAGGTACTATTTCAGGTGATAAGATGCAAATTCCAGGTGGCTAGAGACAAAAACATACATAAAGTAGTCAGGAAAGTCACCCAGAGCTACCTTTACTTCATTAGCACAATCAAAATCACACCACAAGCAGAGACTTAAAATATAATGAGGCTTACATGGCATGCAGAGGCATGATGAAGAAGAGCGCAGGCTTAACCAAAACGCCACCTCCACCGTGCTGGCATCAAGAAACCCAGTCCCCGAGTACTCAGTAGATGCTCAAGAGTGAAGCTATTGCTTGGATGGTACTTTAGCAGGTGCATCACATCCATCTAACAAAATAATTGCACTAGGGCCTATATCCTCCCCTGCCACAGGGCGTTAAACCCCCACCCTATGCTCTGTTAACAAGCCCAATAAACTCGTTAGGGTTCCCCTCCCCCAAAAGAGTAAGCTCTTTATTCCTTTGCTTTGAGTGAGTTTGGGATTTTCTCTCCCCACACGCTGGCTCCTTCATACTCAAGTGTAGGAAAAGAGACTTGTTCCTGCACCAAGGCTTGTGTCGGAAGCATTCTTCTGGTAGAGAGCACAAAGCTCCATAGATACAGCAAAGTGTGTGTGTTGCGTGGACAGAGGCCTTGTGCAGTGACAGGCTCCTCCCAGAGCATCCATGGCCCCAGAAAGCTTTCTCTCCATGTCCTTTTCCTCCACAGATACTGCTCACCTTTGATGACCAGTTCCTACTGACTGTCGCTGAAGATGGCTGCCTGTTTACCTGGAAGGTTTTTGATAAGGATGGTCGGGGAATCAAACGAGAGAGAGAGGTGGGCTTCGCTGAAGAGGTGCTCGTGACTAAAACAGACATGGAAGAGAAGGTAAGAACCAGCGACACAGACCTTCCTTACCAGACTGCTTCAGAAAGCTCGGGCCAGTGTCCGAGGTCCCTGCAGGCCTGGCTGCACCCACGCCCAGTGCAAGCTCCACAGTTCCCTGAACCCTCCATCCACACCAGCCCAGCCGTCCTGCTTGTTGCCTTCACCTCTGCTTCCAGCCTTCACACTGCCTGTCTTTCTACCAGTGATACCCTGTCTTACTCTGTGTTCTTTAATCCTGGGATCCTGCTTTCCTCTTGCTGCTATTTTAGGGTGGGAACCATGGCATATAATTCTCTTGTGTGATTGGTAACTTTGAGCTAGGCACATGGATACTGATCAGTACATACTTACAAAACCAAGATAACGAGCCAAATATACAAGTTGTATCTGTGAAACAATCTCTAGCAAATTGAATCTACTTTTTTATATATTTTATTTATTATTTTTATTTTATGTGTATGAGTGTATTGACTGCATGTGTATGTGAGTTCACCCATGTCATGCAATGCCACAGAGGTCAGAAGAGGGCTTTGGATTCCCCTGGAACGGGAGTTAAGGATGGTTCGTAACCGCCATGTGGGTGCTGGGAATAGAACCCAGGTCCTCTGCAAAAGCAGTCGGTGCTCTTAACCGCTGAGCTATCTCTCCAGCCCCAAATCTTCTTTTCTTTTAATTTTTAATATTTTTAAAAATTTTTCATACAATATAATTTAATGGTATTTAGATCCCTTCCTATTCACCTCCCCTGCCCAATTCGATGTACTCTGTTATGTATCTAAGAAGGCCTATAGAGTCTTAATTTGTGTTCCCAAATGTCCTTCAGTGTAGATCCACTCACTGGAGCCTGGTTAACCTACCAAGAGTCCCATCCCTGTAAGAGACTGTCTCTTGTCCTCCTAGAAGCCATGAGTTGCCAAAAGTTCCTTAGGTTGGGTTGAGATTTCTAAAAAAAAAAAAGAGCTGGGGAGATGTCTTGGTCAGTAAACTGCCTACCTTGTAAGCATGAAGACCTGAGTTTGGACACCCAGCACCCACATGAACGCTGGACACAGCACCTGGAGCTGGCGGTGGGAGGAAACTGGAGGATCCCTAGAACTCACTGGCAAACTAGCCTAGCTGAGTTGATGAGGTTCAGGTTCAGTGAGACACCTTGTCTAAAAAAATAGTCTGGAGAGCAACTGAGGAAGATGCCCAGTGTCAGCCTGTAGCCTCCACACTCATACACATATGCACACACACACCTATACACATATGTGCACACCCTCATACACATGTTCTAGCCAGCCTGGGCTACATAGTGATACCCTGTCTTAAAAAAAAAAAAAAAGAATTTAGAAAGCATTTCTGTCAGCCATACCCACATCTCTGAATAATAAAACCATAGAGTAAGAATAACCAGTCAGGAGTGGTGGTGTACGCCTTTAATCCCAGTCATCAGGAGGCAGGGGCAGGCAAATCTCTGTGAGATTGAAGCCAGTGTAGACTACATAGTGAGCTCCAAGACAACTGGGGCTACAGGGAGACCCTGTCTCAAACAAACGAACAAACAAACAAACAAACAAAGAATATCCAGCATTTGCCATGAAGCAGGCTATGTGCCGGCTACATAGTATTTCCCACTGATCTCCCAATACCTCTGTGAAGAAGGTTAGTTATATTGTTCTCGCCAAGTTTCAAGGAACTCATTCGAAGAGGTTTAGTGTTGGGACAAAGTCACTGTGCTAGTAAATAGTAGGGCCAGAATTCAAGTCTAGATTTAACTTGGAGACCAAACCCAGTCCTCTTTCCTGTTCATTCAGTGAGAGTCTCACAAAGCGTTTTGCTGAAATCTGAGTGCTAGTTCCGGATAAAGTTCCCTAAGGATGAAGCTGCAATCTGAATGCTGGGACCCCAGAGAATTCCCAAACTACACATTCATTGCCGCTCAGGAAGAATCTGAGTGTGCTTTATTGAATATCATAGATGCATGTGCTTTGAAAGGACAGGCATGGGCCCTGTGATCGGGAAGCTCACAGTCAAGGGAGGGAGACAATAAAGCTATCAGAACAGCAACACAGAAGCAGCCACAAGACGGGAAGACATGCCCCTGCTGTTTCCTGGGATCCCTCCTAGAGCACCCTAGAATGTTCTTATGACAGGCGAAGAGGGACGGAGAGCCTAACTTCCCCTTCCTTCTCTGAATTCTTTTCCTTCTTCCAATAGGGACGCCAAATAGGAGACATTAGGACACGCTGAGGGTCTGACTATCTGGGCTGACTCTGACCCTGACCACAGCCCCGCCTAGTGTTTGTGTGGCCCTCTTTCAGACCCTCCCTCTTCTCCTGCCTAGTGAAAGTGTGGCCCTCTCTCCACCCTCCGTCTTCCCCCAGCTTCCATAAGGGCCAAGATGAGTCTCTGAAACCTCTCTCCGCACCTCCCAGGCTTTCTCCCTGCCTCCTTTACCTGTCCCCCAAGCCATAGTCCACAATCTCCTAATTCCAGTGCTTTCGTTTTTTATGACATTCTGTGTGTTAGCCCAGGTTTACCCACTCATTCAGTCATCTGCCATCAACAGAAGAATCTGCTGTGTGCCTAATGTTATACTGAGTCCAGAACTTCAGAGATAAAAGGCACAGAGGGTTCCTTAGCTTGTAGCCTGAGTGGGGGGGACAGGCAAATAACTTAGGAACTAAGCATGCGGTGGGTATTCTGAAAGAATGCTGCCCTGGGAAACACAGGGGAGAACTCCGACTCAGGCCAGGTTGCATCAGAGGAAGCAAGCCCTGACCAGAGCCTTGCAGAACAAATGGAAAATGCCCTTCCACACTGAGCAGTGATGCTCCTAGTAGCTGAGCTGGAGAGGAGACTGTGTTCCAGAGAAGAAAGGTGGACAGACTCAGAGACATCATAAGGGCCTTTTACATGGTTGAGCCTGGAAACTGTTAAGAAGAACCCACAGATACTGAGTTAGGAAGTATCTTGACAAAATCCCGGTCTTGGAAAGATTACTCTGCAGCAACGTGGAGATGGAATAAGGAAGGCTGATGAGAAAGTACCTCAACGTCACATGTCCGAACCACTCCCAGCAGTAAATACACCCTGGTCACCTGATGAATATTCATCAGTGTCTACTGGTGTTGCTGGTTCTTTTCGAGGCTCAGGGGATAGAATAGTGATGCCAGGGGCTAGAGAGATGGTTCCGTGGTTAAGAGTATTGACTGCTCTTGCAGAGGACCAGTGTTCGATTCCCAGCACCCACATGGTGGCTAACAAGTGTCTGTAACTCCAGTTCCAGGGAATCTGACATCCTCTTCTGACCTCCATAGGCACTGCACAACATGGGTGCACCTACCTACATGCAGGGAATACACTCATACACATAAAATAAAAATAATAAATAAAAAATTTTTTTAAGAAAAGGAGAAGAATGAAGCCAGACAAGCCACGCCCAGTCCTCCCTCCCGGGAGAGTCCCAGTCTCTGTGCAACCTTTCTAGTACTTCATGTTCCCTTCCCCCACCTCAGCTCAAGCCCCTACCTCTTCTCACCTGAACTTAGCTAATCGCCTTACCTTAGCTCATCTCTAACGTATTCCATGCTGCACACAGCCATCAGACAAGTCATTGTAATACCAAAGCCAGCATAATGAGGTTAGATGAGGACTTTGGAGGCCCACTAGTATCAAATCCACATCTCCTATTTGATCTACAAAGACTCTGATAGTCTCCCAATCTCAGAGTCCTCTCCCTCCCATTGGTACCAAACTACATGGGGACCCTGACTGGGCTCCCTCGTCTCAGGCCCTCACACATGCTACAGCCATGCTAGTGTAATGCAGAAGAAAATATAGCCCTTCCATGTCAAGTTGCTCATAGAAGGAAAAGAAACGACCGGCAAAGATAAGGTAGGGTGCATGGGGTGTCATCAAGGTGATCAGGAGGAAAGCACCATGTCCTCACCCACTCTTCATTTAGCTTCGACTCTTCAGGAAATGAGGACTGTCTATATTATGCTTTCAGAAAAATCTCGACATAATTAATGGAAGGAAAAAAGCCTAGACTTTGGAGCCCAGCAGAAGAGTCAGGATCTAATAAATAGCAGAGGCTCCAGCACGGGCATGAACAACATGAATGAACAGGGACAGTCACCATGCCAAGAACCACAGTTGCGTTTAGGGCTTTGGGCACTTAATACAACTTGTAATTATTTGTTTACTTGGCTGCCTCATTATCATGATTCCACATTAGGGCTAGGCTATATATCTCAGTGTAGAACACTTGCCTAACACGTATGAGGCCCATAAGTATCTTCTGGATGTCTGCTACATATTAGACATTGTCCTGGACACTTGGGTTATAACAGAGAACAAAACTAACAAAGAGATCAGCCTTTGGGAGCTTAAATGCTAATGGAAGAGACTAGAGAGATGGCTTAGCAGGTAATAGTTCTGGCTGCCCTTGCAGAGGACCTGGGTTGGGTTCCTAGCTCCCACATGAGAGCTAACAACCATCCATAACGCCAATTCTAAGGGCTCCAACGCCCTCTTCTGGGCATTGCACACATGTAGTACACTTATATACATGCAGGCAAAACACTCTTACACATAAATTTTTTAATTGATTAATTTTCAAAAACTAAAAAAATTCTAATGGAGGAAAGGATAATAAACAAATAATAAGCAAATCATTTGCCAATTACCAAGTGCCAAGATCTAAGGAAATAACAAAAAGTAGAGCAGAGGGTGGGATTGGAAGGGGAGGTCGAGAGAGCAGTGCTGGGAATGGAAGGGGAGCGTAGCAGGATTAATAGTGGGGTCCAAGGCCTCACCCAGCAGGTAACATCTAAGCCAATTTGAAGGAGACGTGAGAACTGTTAGCACGCAGTGGAGCCCACTGAACACATGTTGTAAAGATAGAGGAGGAAGCTCTTATGTCCCCTCATGTCACTTGTGTGTTATATGAAAAGAAGATGGTAGGTCCCAGTTGAGACCCACTGTGTTTGAAGCTAGGCAAAGCTGCAGGTCACAGGTCAAGGCCACAGATTTAAGTAACGCAGTTCACACCACTGTGTACATTCAAGATTCTGTGTCCTTCTCCCAAAGGCGCAGGTTATGTTGGAGCTGAAGATGCGTGTGGAAGAACTGAAAATGGAGAATGAGTATCAGCTTCGGCTAAAGGATATGAACTACTCTGAGAAGATTAAGGAGCTAACAGACAAGTTCACCCAGGAAATGGAGTCCTTACAAACAAAAAACCAGGTCTGTGTGAGAGCCTGAACCTGGAGCCTTTCCATCTGCTGAACGTGGGGCTGGTTGCACGGCCCAAGAAGATGGAGGGTAACATTCGGTTGTAAAGCACAGCTGGTGTCAGAAAGGTGCAGAAGGGACAGTGCGGGGAAAGGCAGAGTCTAAAGCTTCCCACGGTGAATGGTATTGACCAGGTAAAACAAAGTGCACGGGGAAGAGATGGCGCAGTTATCTCTGGGAAGCTGGAATCATGGACCATTGGAATTTTATCTCACACTCTTTACATAATTTCCAAATTTCCTACAATGAGAATTTACTATTTTGTGACCAGGAAAACATTTTTAATTTTATTTTTAATATAATTTTTTGAGAATTTTAAAACAAAGTGCACGGGGAAGAGATGGCGCAGTTATCTCTGGGAAGCTGGAATCATGGACCATTGGAATTTTATCTCACACTCTTTACATAATTTCCAAATTTCCTACAATGAGAATTTACTATTTTGTGACCAGGAAAACATTTTTAATTTT